TTGCATCTTGGCATGGCCCGGCACTCTTCCCTGTGCTGACCCGAGTTCTAATCCTTAGACCCAGCTTGTCCTCTCCCTGAGAAAATGCACATTAAAAGTGTAGGTGCACTATGCTGGCAAGGGTGGCAGAGCTTCTTTCCTCTGGTGTGGGAGGTCCCCAGAGTCCTTCCTGAGGGTTCCCACCTCCACTCCTGGCAGGACCCAGAATCCTCTCTGTGCTGACCTGAGTCCAGGCCCCTCAGCTCAGACCAAGGTCCTCACCTCCCTGACACTGCCAAGCTGAAAACGAAGGGTTGCCTCCACCTAAAGTCCCTCCTGGGGTTTCCCAGAACTGTCACTGGGGGTAGGGCTCCCTCAGTCCTTCCTCAGGGTATTCATATTTACTTCTGGCAGGGTCTGAATCATGTTCCTCAATTAATCTGGTATCACTCCCTGAGACCAATGCTTCAGCTCCCTAAGACCCCCTCCCCACTCCCACCCTATGGCAAAAGCGAGAGCATGCCACATNTTTTTCTGGGGTGGGAGCTCCCCTCAGCCTTCACCAAAGGTCTAATTTGATTCCTGGCAGGGCCTGGGACTCTTTGCTGACCTGAGGCTGCTCCCCTTAGACGCAGCTCCTCATGTCCCTGAGATCCCTGAGACAGAAGTGAGGGGGCACTATATCTGGACACCCATGCCTGGTTTCTCCCAAGGCTGACAGCAGGGGCAGGGCTGACCGGCCTCTGTCCCGGCATCCGAGGCCTCACGTTACCAAGTGGCAGGGCCTGGGACTGTTCTCTTTGCTAACCCTAGTTCAGCCTCCTCATCCAATGCCCTCGCCTCCCTGGGAACCCGCAGTCAAGATGAGAGTACTCTCAGTGGAATAGCGCTGCCTGGTGTCTATCGGAGCTGACAGTGGGGGCAGCGCGGCTTCCTGTGGGGGCCCTTCTGTGTTCTGAAGTAGGCCCCCTCACTACTCACTCAGAATCCACACCTTGACCCCTGGCAGGGCCTGTGTACCCTCCCTCGGTTGATCTGATGCCACACCCCTTAGACCAAGGATGCACGTCTCTCAGATTCCCGAGAGCAAATCGAGGGTGTAGCCAGACTCCAAAAGCTATTCCAAGTGAACCGATATCATGTGGGGGGAAGTGGGGGGAAGAGGAGCGGGTAAAGGGACACGAAAATCAACTACAATGTAT